CACCAGAAAAGATGAAGAGTGAGAAATGTCTGGAGATACTGTGATTTCAGTTATTTATAGCTAGATAGCAGAAAAAATTGTAGTGCACTGAGAGCAGGTGGGAGCAGGTAATAGAATTTATGTTATCACATTCACAAGTTTTATGTATGCTTTTTGTTGAGAGGTACTTTTTGTTTGTTTGGTTTTTTTTGGCTGTAGTAATTATTTAGAAGTATACTACTACCAATAAGTTTATCTAGAATTTTCTTGGAAATTCTTAGTAAATTAGATTCGGAATCATTAGAGTTTTCTTAGTTCTGACTTTTGATTAAGGTTTAAACTCAAGATCTCTTGCTTTGTTTGGCTTGTTTGTTTAGCTAGCATTCTACCTCTTTGGCCATGCTCCCAATGCTGTTTTTTTCTTAAATATAACTTTATTATTATTTATGTGTTGTACCCAGAGGTTACCATTTTACAATTTAGATAATGTGTACATTTCTTTTTTTTTTTAATTTAATTTTATTTTATTTGTGAACATACTGTACAGAGGGGTTACAATTACATGGGCAGGATATAATGTGTACATTTCTTTTGTGAACAATGTCACCCATTACCTGCCCACAAGTTGCACGGTTCATTTTCCATATAGTATACACTGAATACCATGATTGCAACCTTCTCCCTCTTTTTCTACCACCCCCCTTTTGCTCCTTTTAAGAAGCAGAAAAAGAAGAGGAAAAAAAAACAAACAACCCAACACACACCATCACCACAACCACCAACATAAATAACACCTGTTTCTATTTTCTAGAATTTGTTGAAATGAATAGTGTTTTATACGGAGAATGACACCTTTGGGTCATTCCTCACCTACTAGTATCCTCCTTTAGTCTGTCTGTGTATGAATGGCTAGAGTTGAGTATAGCTTACTGTTTTTATTTTGTTTTTGTTTTTTTAAATCTGGTTATTTTGGAGACTTTCTACTCACCACAGTCTTCCAGATCTCAGCCTCCTGAGCAGATAGGAATGCAGGCATGAGCCATTGGCTCTCAGAACTTCCTTCTGAAGGTATATTAAAGAATTATAGGTGCCAATTCTAATGGATATAGTCTCCTTGGGTTATTGCTTTATTGTCAGTTATTACTTTATTGAACTCAGGGCCTGAGTGTTGTCCTTGAGCAAAAGAGCTCAAGGTTAGCGTTCTATCTCTCTGAACCACCATGGTACTTCGGGTTTTTGAGTGGTTAATTGGAGATTAAGATTCTCACAGGGACTTTTCTGCCTGGGCTGGCTTTGAACCCACAATCCTCATATCTCAGCCTCCTGAGCATCTAGGATTCCAGATATGACCCACTGGCACCTGACTATATTTTTTAAGAATAAAATAATTTAACTCATTACAAATAAATTTTATTTGCTTCAAATAAGGAAGTGAGTATGTCTGTTATGAGCCTAGATTTTTTTAACACTTAATTGATATAATGACATATAATGTATTGTTCATATGTGCAGTGTAGAATTGAAGTTCTAACATACACACATAAACATGTTCTTCATAAGGAACACATTCAAGGCTTTCTTATTATTGGGTTGTAACTCCTCCTATACCTGTTCCAAGGAAGCCACTTATCTGCTTTCAGACACCACAGATTAATTTGTATTTTCTGAGATTTCTACAAATTATGCTTACCATATACTGTTAATTTTTTTAAACTCCCAAGTGTAACAATTTGAGAATCACCCACATTGTGGCTTGTTGGATAATTTATTTCTTGTTGCTGGTAAGTAGTATTTTTTGTGTGGATATAACACTTATATCGATTTGCTTTTTGCTAGACATTTGGACTGTTCCCAGTTCTTATTTATTGGAAGTTAATCTAACAGCATTGGCTTAAAAGTTTTTTATGTGGATGTATACTTGGTAGGTTACTCTTAGATTGTAAAGCTATCACGTGAGGTTTCTTATGTTATTATACATAGAAGCACAGCAGAAATATTTCTCTGTGGTGACTTGACCAAATTCTCCAGTACTTTGCAATAAAGCTATTAGAAATGTGCGCATTACTTGACTTATGTAACCATAACCCCTCTGTACGAAATCCCTCTGTACATCATCTTTAAAATTAGACAAAACAAACATGCATTATTCAATAGTGTAATCTAAGTCTTTGTTTCAAAATAATTGTATCTGCAGTATTATAACCTACAGTTATAATATTTTCCCCATCTTTTGATATCTAGAAATATGGTTTCCTATTTTAAAGTATGTCTATCTAAAAAGCTACCCCCTGTTACAGGCTCTGATGTGTTTTATTCTCTTCTTCACTCACTTGATCTGAATCTGGCTGCATCTGCTGAAAAGTGCTTGCTTGCTTGATCTCTAACCTCATTACACAGACTTGACTTTTGTGACTTGATCCTTCTGGATATCAGCAGGAAACCAGTTCTTCGCTTAAGTCATCAATGCCTGCTACCTTTGGCACCACCCAGCAAATGCTCTCTCACCATAACTGTTTTTATTCTGCTAGTCTAGGTTTTGGCTGTTTAAAATTTGCCCCCTAGGTTCATCTTTCTTTTTTATTCCAAACTCCTAGCTCTGGTTCTTATGTTTGAAGTCTTCTCTCTCAGCCATTTGAACTAAGTGTGTGGCTTGATCTGACTTAACTCAGCTGTTGGAGGACTAGAGAATATATAAGAGTCTCTGCTTGGCCACAGGCTTGCTTCCAAATCCTTGTTCAAGTGTTCATGTGTTCTTCCAAATGTGGCCATCCACTGGTGACAGACAAAGGTGACACATAGTAGTGACCTCTGTCTGTCAATTGAAATTGTATGTATCTGTTTGGAGCCCTCCTCAAATGCAAGTTTTCCAATATCCTCAGATTGTTTTCCCTCCCTCATGTCACTTTTTATCCTTATTTACTCTAATTTTTTTGAGTGTATTATAAATGCCATGTCTTCATTCTGAATATAAATTATAATCATCTATGTTGAGATGATATTTGTTGAAGATAAATAAAAATCAACCATATGCAATAAGGTTTTACACTATTGATTATCTTATTGTTTTATTCGTTGTGGACTATTTATTGTACATATAAATGAATCAACAATACCTTCCTTTTGTACCCAAGTATCCATAACCAACTTGAAAACATAAATATTATCGGCATTCATACTAAATTATTTGAGAATCTCCTTCATCTTTTGCTTTTCCTTTCTTCCCTGAAGGAATCATGATCCTGGCTTTGATCTTTTATCATTGCTTTGTGTGTTTGCATATTGTTTCATCCTTACTCTCTATCTGTGGCACATGGTATTATTCTGCTTTTTTTTTAGAGTAATGTATGGTTCTTTCCTCAATATTACATTTCTCAAATTTTCCACAGGGATATTATTGGTGTTATAATCTTGAGGTGAGGTCACTTACTTTGCTTGGTGTCTAGCATTTCTTTATGCAACTCTTCCATTGTTTCTGTTTCCATTATCTTGCTGAAAGCTGTTTCACATTCCTTTTACTAACAATATCAAAATGAACATTCTTACATGATTTATGTATGGGATTGGAGGGCGGTGCTCCAGGATTTTTATTGAGATGTGGAACACTGGGTCAGAGGCTGCGATACAAGGATTAAGGGCAGAGGCTCTGGAGCCAGGCTACAGGATTCAAATCCTTACCAGGTCACTTGCTAGCTTTCCCGGGAAGCAATGAGCAAGAGCTATTTTGGGCTTCTTATGAGCATGTCTGCCCTACCTCCACCCTGGGTATCAGGCAGTCAGCTTGGCTTTAGTTCTCTTGGCTTTTGTGGGTCCTGTCAGAGCCAGTTCCCAGTTGCTTCTGGAGCCAGAACCCAGCAGGCCTGTGGCTTTGCATACTATTGCCACTTTGCATTTCTGTGCCATTTCTGGTCCAGGCAGAAATTTGGGGTTTGTTTTATGTTTTGAGCCTGGAATTTTAAAAAAAAATTCACTTTTCTTTTTTTTGATATTTTATTCATCGTTGCTATGTGTCTGGAGTAGATGGAGTCTATCAAAGCAGGAACTTTTGTGTGTGTGTGTGTGTCACCACAAGTAGAGTTAATATGAACACAAATTTTAGAATTATCTAATCATAGAATTTTGAGGTTACAAGGCATTTTAGAGATAAGGGCAATAACTCTACTGTATAAGTGAGGGAATTGCGGTCTGAAGAAATTAAGTGAAAGGCTAAGAAGGTGACTTAGCAGTAGAGTTCTTGCCTAGCATGCATGAGCCCCTGAGTTGGATTCCTTGATACCCCATAAACAAACAAAAATAAATCAAATTTGTTCTGGGGTTGGGGAGTTAGCTCAGTGGAAATGTATTTGCCTCACAATTGCTAGGCCCCGAGTTTGGTCTTCAGCTCTGGAAAAGTAAGAAGAAAAACAAATTAAGTGATTTACAGATGTCACATCCTTAGCAGAGTCCAGGGCTTCTCTAAAGTCCCTCACTATACAGTGCCACTATAAGCCACTGTCACAGCCTTCTCTGTAAGCTGCATTTACGTGGACCATTTTATTTTTAATCGGACTGGGAAAATACACTAGAACATAGCAATGAAAGATTATGTCATATTTAAAAACTGTATAAAGTGATTTCTTTTGGACAATATTGAGATAAAATTAAGGATGTAATATTTACTGCATTGAGTGGGCTCTAGGGGCTCCTCCTGTGCTTGCTTCCTCGACTCTCTGAAGCTGAGAGTCCTGAAGCTGAGATGGAGTCCCTTCAGTCAGGATGCCCATACTTGCAGCCACTGAGAGTACTGGGCCAGAACGTGAACTGAAGTGAGTGGGTTTTAGCAATATTTCTAGTGCTAGTCTGTATTTCTGCCGTCACGCAGAAATGGCAGATTGTTGACGTTACACGCCAAAAAACTACTAAAAACAAGCTAAGATCCTTTTTCATTAGGTTTCTGGACTTATTTAGGTGATGAAACTTTAGAATCTGGTGTGTGTGTGTGCGTGTGTGTTAAAGCCTATGGAACTGTTTTATTCTGTTTCTAGATCTTTTAGCTGTGCCTAAGCATCCGTATGCTGCTATGGAGAACTGGGGACTAAGTATTTTTGTGGAGCAAAGAATACTGCTGGATCCCAGTGTTTCATCTATTTCTTATTTGCTGGATGTCACCATGGTCATTGTTCATGAGATATGTCACCAGGTATGAGAATAAAAGGATAAGGTGTAAGTATCATATACCAACTCTCTAGAATGATTTCAGATCCCTCAATTAGAAGAGATGAATTATTACTCTCCCTATTAAGTTTTATACCAAGCATGGCGTACTTTTATTTCCCACGTGACACCACAAACACAAACACATAAACAGATCTTATTGGAAAACAAATGTCATTCAGTTTACATGTACTGGGAAATGACTGACATTTCCACTGCCCAGCCACACCTTTGGAGCCTCATCTGGTTGCTGTTTTCTTTCCTATCTGGTCCCCCCGCCCCTCTTCCTGGTGATTATTAGTGTGTGTCTATGGTAAGTGTCATGATGGCGATGATTTAGTGTAATGTCTCAAGACGCAGCTGAGTTTTGTGTACGTGTCAGAATTTGCTTTTGCCAAAATCAATTTGTTATTCCCCTTTTCCCATGCCTTAGACACTTAGGAAGCCTTTTACTAACTCAGCCATAAATTCTTTGTTCTCAAATGATTGTTATTTTTTTTTCCTTGGCATGTTTAGAAATTCATATGTAAATTAGTCAGCTTTGTAGTGAAGCTGAGATAAAATTAATTTCATTTTGATTTTATGCACTTTCTTAAAATGAGTGGAAGGTATTAGAGTAATTTAGTTTCACTGCTAATCTAAATCTTGATTTTAGTGGCAAAACACACACTTAAAATAGATGTACTTATTAATAATAGAAAGGAATACCTTTCCTGATTCCTAGTAAATATGCATGGTTTTTAACTGAAAACTACCAAAATTTCACTGTAATACAGCATGATTTTTAATATTGTAAACCTAAAGAATTTTTTAAAAGCTAGAAAGACCAAAGAAAGAATGGCATGGATAATTTTGTCAGTGAAAAAAATGTGAACTGTTAAATGCTAATACATGAATCTGACTTAATGATGGATTGGTTCAAGCTATGTGAGCATTTACCTAAATGTCAGCCTTTTGCAGTGAACTTGTAGAATGTTTATATCTGTCATGTTGACTAGATGAGATGTGTTTCTTACTTTAGAAAATCGAATGATCAATTACAGATAAAACTTGGGCTTCTCTTCTGGCTAAAGAGCGTGACTTCCATTAAGCCTAACAACTCAGATGCAAAAATCAAACTCCTCTGAATATTTCTATAAGCAACAAGTTAGATGTACATTTCTGTTGGAGTCAAGGCACACTGATAATGCTGTAATTGTTCAGAGACTTTGATTTTTTTCTTGTTTTATATTGTTTAATATTATGAGTTAATTGCTTATAAAATCTTAGTGGTGGTAGATTTCTTACTATGAAGTAATAGATCAGAAAACAGGAGAAACTAGGAATAATTGTCATTATCACTGTCATGTTAATTTTGGCATTGCTTTCCTTTCCCACCTGTTTGCTGTTGCAAGTCTAAGCACAGGGTTGTTAGTTATTAATTTTTGGCTAAAAAATTAAGCAAGTGACAATAAAGCTTTAGTTGTCATCAACATAGCTAGAGATTCCTGGAAGGGTGATATTTTATTGTTAATATTGAAATACTTAGGAGTGAGCTCTTCATTGTTACTGTGAAAGCTGTTTTTCACCTGGTACTCATCTGCCTTTAAGGCCTTTCTTGTCCTTGCTCCATCCTGTTCCTATATATGCTAGTCTCACAGATCTTTCATTTCTTGGAGAGCTCATTCCCACCTAGAGTTTTTACAGTAAAGTTTATTTTCATCTGCTTGGAAACTTCTTGCCCAAGGTTTTATACAGAGGGGTTATAGTTCTCTGAGTAAGATAATGAGTACATTTCCTGTCGAGCATTGTTAACCCCCTCTTTTGTTTTTCCCCAAAGTGTCATTCATATTTATTTTGCTTTATTAATCTCCTTCTACATCTCATATTTCCCACTTCCACAATAAATTATCACCTGTATGAGAAGGGACATAATCCAATTCTTTATCACTGAATCTCAAATGTTTAAGATAGTCCCTAGCTTGTAATGTATTCTTTTATGAAATAAAAAGGAAAGAATTCTTTTAACTTTTCCTAAAATAAACAAGAGTTCCAGAGTAATGCAGCCTTTTATAAAACACCCATTGAAATTTCAACATTAGGGCTGGGAAGGTGGCTCAGTGGTAGAGCGCTTGCTTTGCATGCCTGAGGCCCTGGGTTCGATTCTTCAGCACCACATAAGCAGAAAAAAAAAGCCGGAAGTGGTGCTATGGCTCAAGTAGTAGAGCGCTAGCCTTGAGCTGAAGAGCTGAGGGACAGCGCCCAGGCCCAGAGTTGAGGCCTCACGACCAGACCCCCCCCCAAAAAAAAAAAATTCAACATTATATATCATGAAATAATCTGAGAGACAGAATTGCTTTTTGGTCGACCCATCCTGGAGAGTCAATTTTTGAGGACCATTGAAGCTTTCAGTGAGGCTAATCAAGGAATCCTCTGAGTTGCTCTGCCACTTGGGGACAATGGTTCTAGGTCCTCTAGTGATGAGTCATTCACTGCCTCTCAAGACATCATTTCCCATATCAGGCTACTTTAATCACTCAGAGACTTTCTTACACTTTCAGCGGCCATTTACCAGTTCTAATTTACATTCAGTATTCCCAAGTTGTTCCCTATTGTAGGGTCACAAGAAGCAAGCCTTTTCTTTTTCTCTATAATAGATCTTCAAATATTTGAAAATAGTTGTCATCTATTTTCTCCCCTTTATGAAGAATTCTTTTTTGTTCTTTTCTGAATGCATTTATAAAATATAAATAAATAAATAAATAGTCAAATAAAGCAATGCAGTCTTACCACAACACATTTTGAGATCACAAAATCCATTGAGGATTGACCTCCAGCTAGGGTAATTATTATGTAATACATTTTAGGTAAACTTGGTGTGAGATAAATGAGATTTCATCTGATGGCCATTTCTTTTGTTACTACAGTGGTTTGGTGACCTTGTGACTCCTGTTTGGTGGGAAGATGTGTGGTTGAAGGAAGGTTTTGCTCACTACTTTGAATTTGTGGGTACAGACTACCTCTACCCTGGCTGGAACATGGTAAGTTTACCTTCCTCTAATCCTTTGGAATCTCTGTAGAACACTGATCTGAGCATGAAATGTGAGATTATCCATAAATCACCCTATCAGTTCTCTACCATAAATTCAACTGATTCTTGTTGGGTAAAGAAAATGTTAACTTATTATAGCAATAATACCATATTAATATATCTTAATTATATACATGAAGTTTGTCCATATTTTATGTATTTCAACTCTCATTCATCTATGTATGTACAATTTCAAAAACTCATTTGCAATTCATTAGGATATCAAAATGAATTAAAATGCCTTTATAAAACTTCGAAGAAAAACCACCAATACCACACAATACTATGTGAAGGATCTCATAAATGTGTAACTTAAAACCTTAAGGTTACAGAAATATTTCTAAAAGTATCTTTTGATTTTAGATGACTTTGAACCCACATTAAAATTTTCATTATGCTGTGGATTATTACTGATTTATTATTTCATTATGTCTCAATATTAATAGACGTTATTATTACGAATGACATTGCACATACACAGGTAAGTTTTTTTTTTTAGCTCATCCAGTTACTTGTAATAAAATCTTTTTTATTCCTCATTACAAAAAATACATGTTAGATCAAAAAGTAATCAACAGAATTATACATGAGGTGAAAATTGACAGATTTTGATAGTCTTTTTTTTTCTTTAAGAATTCCTTTCTGGGAAACCTAGATTTTGATAGTTTTAAGGATAGTCATGTATCTTCAGTTTCAAAGTACTTAACTTAGTATAAGAGTACGTGGAATGAGTTTCATATTCTTTTCATTATTTTATTATTTGACTTATGAACATAGCTTTTCTTCAAAATATTTTTACAAAGGTATCAGATCTAATATGACTGTGACTTGTGTTCTTCACCTAAATACAGAATGTATATTGGATGTATAAAAATCTCATGTGAGTTGGGCACTGAGGGCTCATGCTTGTAATCCTAGCAACTCAGGAGTCTTGAGATCTGGTTCGAAGCCAGTCTGGGCAGGAAAGGTGTGTGTGTATACATACATACATACTTACATACATACATACATATACATATACATACATATATATATATACATATATATATATGTATATATATATATGAATCTCGGTGTAAAGACACTGTACAGAGGGGTTACAGTTACATGAGTTAGGTAATGAGTACATTTCCTATCTAGCATTGTTACTCCCTTTTTTTGTTTTTTTTCCCCTAACATCCCTTCCCTCACCATCTCCCCAACTCCCGAACTCCTCCCCCCTCATCCCAAGATGTAAAGTTTGTTTGCAACATAGTTTCTTGTACATCTCTTTGCTACAATGGGTCAACTTGTATCCTTGTTTCAGCATTTTGTTATTTCCCTTCCCCTCCCCAAGTTAGAAAAATGTATATACAAGATGAAGGGCACCAGAATCAAATACAGTGAAAACAGGGATTGTACCTTGGGGAAAGAACATACAAAGGAAACAAAAAATATCACATTAAAAACAGCAGTGATAAAGATAAAACCTCTTGTGTTCCTATCTTGGGGTTCATTTTGCTTAGCATCATTTTATATGTTCAGATATACAGATAGACAAGCAGGCAAAATTATTCTCAACATATACTAGTTATTGCAAATAAGGGAAACCATGGGACCTGTGTTTCTTTGGGTCTGGCTTATTTCACTTAATATTATTTTTTCCAAGTCTTTCCATTTCCTAAGAAATAGGGTGGTGTCATTCTTTCTGGCCACCCTGCACCAGAATCAACTCCAAATGGATCAAAGACCTGGAAGGAAAAACAGACACAACATTACAGGAAGGAATAGGAGAAACTCTAGGGCTCCTCAGCACAGGCCGAACTTTTCTTAATAAAGAACTAGAAACACAACAAATCAAAGAAAGCTTCAACAAATGGGATTGCATGAAACTGCAGAGCGTCTGCATGGACGTAGCTAGCAAGATCAATAGAAAGCCCACGGATTGGAAAAAGATCTGCACTAGCCATACAATGGACAAGAGTCTCAGATTTAAAATATACTTCAAACTTAAAAAACTCCCCCAACAACAAATCCTCAAAGAAACAACCGCCTGATTAATAAATGGGCTCAAGACTTAAAGAGAGACTTCTCTGAAAAGGAAATAAGAATGGCCAATAGACACATGAAGAAATGCTCAACTTCTCTAGCCATAAAAGAAATGCAAATCAAAACAATGTTGAGATTCCACCTCACCCCAATTAGAATGGCTATAGTTAAGAGATCTAATAACAACAGATGCTGGAGGGGATATGGCCAAAGTGCAACCCTACTTTATTGTTCGTGAGAGTGTAAACTTGTTCAACCACTTTGGAAAGCAGTATAGAGGTTCCTCAAAAGACTCCACATAGAGCTCCCCTATGACCTAGCAATCTCACTTTTGGGCATTTACCCAAATGCACAAACAAGGCCACACTAAAGCTACCAGCACAACGATGTTTATCACAGCATTATTCACCATAGCTAAGATATGGAACCAACCCAGATACCCCTCAGTAGATGAATGGATCAAGAAAATATGGAACACAGGTTTTATCTTTGTTGCTGTTGTTTTTTGATTTTTTTCTTTTGTATGTTCTTTCCCCATGTTATAATCTCTGTTTTCACTGTATTTGATTCTGGTGCCCTTCGTCTTGTATATACATTTTTCTAACTTGAGGAGGAGAAGGGAAATAACAAAATGCTAAAACAAGGATACAGGTAAACCTATTGTAACAAAGAGATGTACAAGACACTATGTTGCAAACAAACTTTACAACTTGGGGAGGAGGAGGGAAGAGTTGGGGAGGTGGTGAGGGAAGGGATGTTAGGGGAAAAACGAAGGAAGGGATAACAATACTAGAAAATGTGGTATATGCCTCCATATGGAAGAATGACACCATCTCAGATTCTTAACTCCAATTAACTACCAGAAAGGCCAGAATGAATCTGTGTCTCAGGTGGTAGAGCACTAAGGTTGAGCATACAAGCTCAGGGACAGTGTTCAGACCCCAAGTTCAAGCCTGCGGATCTGTACAGATACAAAACAGAATACCTTATGTGGTTAAAATATAATGATTTGGATTAAGTATAGATTTAAAAACTAACAAATGGATGATCAGTCACACAGAAGGATAACTGTTATCACTAAGAAATGACAACATACCTATCACCATTAATTTCTAAATAGGAAGGACTCTTGTCTCTTTCTGTTCGAATTATAAAAATTACCAAGATTTCCTGTTCTTTGGTGGTTTTTGTTTTTTAGTAGCTTTCCTTGCATTCAGTGGAATACCTCTACATACTGACTTTATGAAACTTGTAAGAAATTCTGTAAACAAATTGTCCCACTATAAATTATTAATATCTTTTTTTGCATATGAAATGCTAAGAAAAAGTTGACCACATAAATATGGGAGAAAGCTGAGTGACTGTATCAGTCCTATTTTTCATAATGACATCAGCAAAGAGAGAAAGAAATACCTGGAGTAAGAGTGATGATAGCTTCAGCAGCAGCTGCATAGGTGTGTTATGCGCAGCCCCCTGCCTATGAGTGCATGGCTTGGGCCTCTCTATGACTGAAACTAAAAAGGAAAGATGAGAAGTCAAGCTCATGTCAGGAGCAGAGAAATTCAGAAAGTTGACCTCTCTTGCCTCTAATCTCAAAAACAGTGCCTTTCTCATTTACAGACACTAGGTCTCAAACACTGAAATGTAATTTCAATTTGCTAGGGAGATTACTAATACATGCTTCCTTCCATGGAACACCTATAAGGAAGAACTGGATTAAATATGATATTGTTAGAAAGCTCTTCCTCTGATTTAAGCTGATATACTTGCTTTGATTAGTTGTTATAAACACACACACACACACACACACACACACACACACACACACACACACACTTAGATTTATTTATATGTGAGTATGTGTTTTCAGAGCCAGTTTCCAGGACAGAAACAATTACTTTTTGATATTAGCAACACTACATAAAATAAATGTTTGTATGTGTGTGTGTATGTGTGAAAATGTTTTCCCCTTTGAAACTAACCAAATTTATCATTTTATAGATGGAATGTCTTTACAGATGTAAGGTCGGGGGGGGGGAGGGGGTGTGGATTGGCAATAAGAAATTCAGATTCTAAGAATGCCATTTCATCTCTCTAACACATCCTTATCATTTGAAAGGTGGGACGGCTGGTTGGACTTAGTAAGTTACACATAATTTCTGTGAGGTCTTTGAAATAAATATATAAGCCACTGCACAAATGTGAAATGATGCCACGGCCTGGAAGTTGAACCTTCTGTTAGAAAATGCATTGATTTTATGAGGAGATGCTGTGCATTTCCAATACCAGTAAAATATTTTGACACCAGGATGTATATCAGTTATATATAGATTTTAAAATAATTTCTATAAACTTTGTGTCTGGATTCATTCTCTTCAGATCAATTTTTATCTACCTCTGCCATGTGGACTCTTGCACGGTGACATAGCCAGAGAGTTGCTTAACATAGTATTATTGTTTGACAATTCTCCATCATTTTTATTTAAAAAAATGATCCATGACTAAAGGATTTTCATGTATCCCAGAAAAGGATGCATAGATCTGATACTGAGGTGGAGGAAATCACATCCTCATGTAAATTGCATAAATTTCCATTAGAATTTGTCTAGTCCCAAGATCAATAGAAAGCCCACGGATTGGGAGAAGATCTTCATTAGCCATACAACCGACAAGGGTCTCATATCTAAAATATACTTGGAACACAAAAAATTAAATCCCCCAACAACAAATCCTCAAAGAAACAACTGCCCAATAAATAAGTGGGCCAAAGACTTAAAGAGAAACTTCTCTGAAGAAGAAAGAAGGATGGCCAATAGACACATGAAGAAATGCTCAACCTCCCTAGCCATAAAAGAAATGCAAATCAAAACAACATTGAGATACCACCTCACCCCAGTTAGAATGGCAAAAATCAAGAACTCT